ACGATATTCTTTTTAATATTGTTTTATAATACAATTTTTCATATAAATATTTCTTGTTAAGTTTAGGACTGATATTAAGTTATCATTAAATTATTATTAAAATGATTGAGCTCAAAATTATAAGTATTTTTTAAGAGCTTAGTGATAACTTAATATCAGTCCTAAACTTAACAAGAAATGTTTATATAAAAAATTGTATTATAAAACAATATTAAAAAGAATATTATTTGCAAAATAATATATAAGAATTCTAAATCACTACTCTTTTTTCGAAAATAGTCTATACAAAACATAAAATAATTATGCTATATATAAATTATATATTCTATATATAAACAAGATGAACTATGTACGTAAGTGACTACATATGTAAACTTATATTAACTTTAAAAATCTATTTCAAAAATAAAAAAATAATGAAGGACATACATCTTAATACATATTTTAAGGACAATTATTGGGTTTAGAATTATATATTTTATGATATTTATTCGAATGAACTCACCGGATAACAGTGGCAATTTTTGCAGTTCCCGATTTTTCGATATGTTGAACCTCGAGCTGCTTTGCCGTTTATCTTTTTTGATTACGGGGCCACCGGGTTGATACTTGATTTTGTTGATAAGCGTAGGTGGAGGCGGTGCATTGCCCACAGGAGGTCCTCCGGTCACCTTATTTGCCTATAAAAACGAAGAAAAATGGTAAAAATAAATACAAGATTTATAGATTAAAAATAAATTAATTTTATAATAGTTTCATTATAATTTTAGATTTAGAAAAATTAAAGAGAAACTTTTATTCCGATTATAAACACAGAAGTTTTTTTTAAATTAATTGTATTTTGAAATATTTATTGCATTTTTTATAATCTTTATAAATTCGTTTTTGTAACAATCTTTATAAGCATAACAATGATCTTTTAATATATAAATATTGTCCAATATATTTTTTAACAAAATTAAAAAATCATAATGTAAATTAAATTTGAACAAGAGTTGGTGTGATTAGTGTACTTAATTCACAGTTACTTATCTTCGCATTAATTTGACTCCGTTATAGGCAAACGATCGATCACTTGCTCGCTAATTGGATTAACATTACATAAATGGAACGTGAGGAAGCGACATGGACTTCCCACGATCTATGGCACAAGGTGTGCAAAAAACGTTACACAAACGTGATCTCTTTATCAAGATTGAAGATCCAAAATATCAATACACGTTCACATCAATATAGTTTCTTTAGTTAATAAAAAATTCATTTTTTCTCAACAAGATATCGACGCAAAAATTCTCGTATATTGTAATATTGTCAAATATAATCAATTGTAAACGAGGAATTTTCAGAATTTCTTCACAATCTATAATTAATTTTTAATTAAATATTAATTAAATATTAAATTTAGTTGATAATATACTAAATATCTAATATTAAGAAATAAGAATATAAAAGAATGCTGACTATATTTTTGCTTAAGAAAAATTTCAAATAAATATACTGTATGCATAATCATTCATCAGTTTATGATAACGCGGCCGTGAATCTTGCAAAAAAAACCTATATAAACATTCTTTTAATCATGTTCGATCAGTTACAAGGTAGGCTATTCGAATAAGCGAGGAAAGTCGTGAGTACAAATGCTTTGGCTTATCTTGGATTGCGGCTAAGTCGGGCGAACAAATGAACTACGTTGGCATTCCGTAATGAAACCAATCAGATTCCTCGCTCGCTTTATTACAAACCGACTAACTAGTTAGTTTTCGTCTTTTACTTTCCCGATTGTTCTGCTTTTGAAGTTTTCGTACTCAATATGAAATATCTGATTAGCAATCATCGACTTTTTCGACGGTACTTTATATTGGTTCTATTAATAACAAAGATTGGCTTATTAATAACAAAGATGGTGACTTTTCTTATGTAAATTTAAAGAAAAATAATAAAAAAAAATAAAAATAAAAAAAAGTCACAAAGTTCAACATCAAGAACTAGAGAATTATACAAAAATGTTTTAGATATCGGAGAATCGAGATAGGAACAATTGATCTAAAAAATTGATCGACAATTAATCTTTTATCCAAAATACGTTTCAGTAAGAGTTTAAAGCGTTGAGTTTAAAGAGTTTAAAGCGTGTTCGTTCAAAGTATCTAACGCTAAATGCACGATAAAACATTGCGTAATCAATAACGCAATTGCGCAGTACGATGACAGGTAACACATATACGCAAACTAGATGCATTATAAAGAAATGTAGTAAAACGGAATGTGTGTCCGCAGATTGCGGATAAAAATAGATGTAAAACACGATCTAATGAACTATTACGAGTAAGTCGCCGTCACTCGTCGTCGGTTTGCGTTTTCACGTTGCTGGTCGCTGTATCTTCAGAAGAATATGCGCGTGCGATCACGTACGCTCGATAAACAAAGTTGACGATCCTACACGATCGCCTCCCAGTGAAACTCAGTATTTACTATCGTTCAAAGAGAGCTTAAAAGGTCCGTAAAACGCGGCGTAAACGTGTGATAAAGGGCGAAGTTGTTTCGCGTAGTTGTTTCGCGACAAAGCGATTTAACAAACTCAAATGCTTTACCGCTTGAAATGAAAAAGCCTATTATCCGAAAAGGTAAGTTCAAAATTATTGACACATAAAAATATTATTTTTTGACAATAGATTGCAAATTAGAAATGTAGAGTCACATTTATAATATAAAATAATTTTAGATAACATTTATCTTTAATAATATAATGTATTGATAAACCGTCCTATTTTTACAGCGTGTATTACACTTTGGAGTACATTAATTTCTGTCGACTGATTGGCTTTATACAAACGAATAATGACGAATATAACGAGAGCTTTTACGTGAAGAAAGGTCGATTGGTGTTGAAGTTCACGGTCAAAGATTACAAACTATTACAGTTCTTGTTCTAACAAGAATTTTCCGCTCGAGGGACCGAGGGACGATGCATTTCACTTCTTTCATCTTCCTAATGGCATTTCTGAATGAATGCAACAGTAATGATAAAAGAGAATGATTATGTGTGGGGTATTGTTTGATATAGAGTTGTCCTGTTTTTAACGAAAAGAATCGTGTTCTAATTTATTGACTTCTACTTTTTGCCTCGTTAATTTATCGTTTCATCTCTTTTTAAACGTATTAATTTAAAAACGTATTAAATAAAATATATATTAAACTCAATACGATATTTATGACATGAAACTATAATTCATGTAATTAAAAACGTGTTAACTTCTTAACTTCTCTTGCAATATATTAAATTCATTTCCTAATAATAGATAATAAAACGATTAAAATGTATAACATATACTAAAATAACAATACCTAAAAAGAAGATTATTTAACATTTAATCATAAGTTTTATAAATCCACAAATATCATTTTTTAATTAAATTTGTCGATCTGTAAACAAAGATTAATATGAAGAAGTCATTGATCTTTGCTCTGAAAGTCTTACTGATATTGCAATACAATAATCTTTGATACTCTATGACTTGAATCATGTTGTATTATGAGATATGACAAATGTATTATGAGATATTTTTATATGTCATTTACAATGATATTCTATATCGCTACGAAATTAATGCGTATTCGATGCCGATTGTACATACTTATCTCTAAACGTCTTATTCCGCGCGATCGAAACTACCGTGTGCTAAAAAGTTGTTCTATCTTTAGTTATCATATCGGTCACGTCTGATAAATATACGCTGATAAATCCGGAAAGAGCTTGCTTTTCAATCATCGTACATTAAATCGAAGAAGTACAAAATAAAGGAAATATCTTACTGAATAAAAATTGAAGATATTTTTGTACTCGATAATAAGCTAAAAAGTTTGTGCAACTATTCGTAAAATCGCAGACAAATGAAAAATGGCACTTTCAAATATTGCGTTTACTTGTCGAATATTTGCCAAATAATATAATAAAATATTACTTGAATTAACGTATGTTTAATCGTAAGGAGAAAAATAATAAAATATTGTTGAAATTATCATATATGAATTACTTACTCGTGGAGGAAAACAAAATAGGCTATATAACAAAATCAACATTTTGCACGATACAAAAATGTCCCCGTAAAATGTGTATCACATCAAAAGATAACACAATATATACTCTGTCCGCACTATCAATCGATATAGTTTAACTAATAATATGATAACAAATATCGCGAATAACGAAGATAATATCCGAAAATAGAAAATATCAAGTTTTTCAAGCAAAGTTAAAGTTTTTTTCTAAATTCAGCCTTCAGCTTTTTTTTTTCATTCTGCAATCAAATATATATATATCGATAGATTCGTATAAAAACGCCCCTTTAAATCTATCGAATATTTGATAGGAGAACGTTGCGTGTTTGTTGAAAGCAACACTGTTCGAGAAACCTGCCTTTTTCTTGAATACGTTTCCAAAGGCGAGTCCGCTGAACGTTTGCATTTTACTCTGCATACCAGCGTGCGATTTCCGGAAACAATGATCGGCCCAGAAAGGAAATTCACTATCGGCACAACGCGGCAGCCAGCCGCAGGAAAAACGGTCTCGCAGCGTCGCGGTATAACATGATTCTCGCAGCGTCGCGGTACAACATGATTCTCGCATTCGCGATCCTCTCTTCTCACGGGACGAAGAGAATCTCGATCACACAGCCGTCGAACAGCCGATCCACTTCACGTACTATCGGGAATATCCGCTTTCTTCCCGCCGGCACCTGAGGGTGCATCCCCGAATGCATGCCTGAGAATATTCCGCGGAGTAATTTCGAGGGAACGTGGCGGAAATTTTGGATTCAAGTTTAAGGTGTCAAACGGACTTTCCCGAGAGTATATACACCAGCCTGATATCACGCGGAAAGTGTTTTGTATCTCTAAAAACGAAAGAAGATAAGGCAGATTAGATTGGACCGCATACTCCGTAAACGACGTTGACTTTCGAGCTTTAATTCTTTAATTCCGACCTAAGATATTCGTGACGGTATCGTAAAAAAAAGGATTCCGGATTCGGTTACCAACGGGATAAATTATTTCAGCGATCGATGACAAGTACACGTATTACACGTGAAATCTATTACACGCAACAGCGATAGATTTTCTTGCTAGCAGTTTTGCGCGTGAAAAGACGGACGCGCGTATAAAAATAAATCAGCGGAACGAAGTGTCTGGGCGAGAGGTAAGCCTTCCCCTTATCCAAGATTAGGAAAAGCGGCCGCGGTCTCTATATTGGATCCGGCGCTTCGCACTTGCGAGTATTTTAGTCGACAATCGAAAGTGACGAGAGAGTAAATATTATCTTTCTGTCGCTGGCCGTCACGCGATGTTTTGTAACTCAATATTTCCGAGTACCGATCTTTAAAAGAAGTCTGACGTGACGTAACTTACAGTCAGCGATAACGTATCGTCACATTTTTCAGGAATCATATTTCTTTTATATTAAATGTGTCCTCTAGATTTTCTGTATTGCGATTTTGCTAAATAAATTTTTCAAGATCACAATCGATGCAATATATTTATAATAATGACGTAAGCTTCATATATAGTTATATGGGGCCTTTAGAATTTACTTTTTTCTCAACGTCATTCGATGCTTACAATTCGTATCTTCTTCGACGATGAACAAGAACACGTACAAATATTGCAATAGATAAACAACTTTATCTCCTATACATAAAATCTCGGCTGAACCGTTTGGTCGCGGTCGCGAAAACAGGCGTTTCCTCGGAGGCTCGTGGAACTCGGGAGAATTCGCGGCACCCCCGCGCGAGGATATAAATATTTCCACGCGGATGTCCAGCGGCGCGGAATATTCTCGTGAGCTGATCTAGTCGCGACGGACAAAGAGGCGCAGCACTCGGGATTGCACTATCTCGCGACGCGCCGCGAAGGAGGAACGTCACCTCCTCGTCGTCCGGTTTTCGTTTGAGAAATCTTCGACGACAACCGTTTTCTCTCGCGCGACCGCGCGCGGGAGAGAGTCCCTCCGGGCGAGAATTCGTCCGTCGTAGTGCCAGCGGCAGAGAGAGACAGAGAGACAGAGAGACAGAGACAGAGAGACAGAGAGAGAGAGAGAGAGAGAGAGAAGAAAAAGAAAAATAGATACACGTCTCCGTGCGAGCGGAGAGAAACGCGAGGCGATCGCGTCGCCGACGTCGCGACGCCCAAGATCGTCCGAGAGGCGCTTCGCAAAATTGGACTCGGAGTCAAAGACGGAGACGGAGACGGAGATAGAGACGGCGACGGCGACGGCGACGGCGACGGCGACGAGAGCGCACTGTCGGAGGCGAGCGGCAGGCGTGCACTCGTGACCGAGAATCGCAGCAGCCAGCCACTTGCGACACTCTCGTGTACACACATCGCAGGTTTTGGCGAGTGCGAGCGCGATCGGCTCTCGCGGCACGCCGCCGCTGCCGCCGCCGCCGCCGCCGCCGCCGGCGCGCCGTCCGATCGACGCCGATCGTTCAAGGCCGCCACGTACGACCTTAACCCTCACGCCAATTACAAGGAATTACGTTTCATCCCGTATGAACACGCGTACACACGTCTTTAGGTCCCGATTCTTTTCAATGTTTTTGATACGACAGAGAGAGGATCGCCCGAAAAGATATCTATGCTCCTGGATCAGTCGTGAGCTCTCTGAAGAGTGAGAAAAAAAAAGGCTAAAAGTTTGGAAACGAAACATTTCCTTTTAGAAATTTCGAGATATTTGTCATTTTACTAAATTACAACTTTTTTACTCCATTATTTTTATTCTATTGTAATTGATTTGTTAAATCAAAACACGGTTATATGGAAATGCCTAACGTTTAGAGAATGTTAAAGCAAAGATTTAAAAATGCATAGAAAAATAACCGGTTTTAAAATAATAATTGTTACGTACAAACGAAAATTTGTCTTTATATTATACAAATAAGTTTTATGTTAAGAATGTTAATTATTTCATTATTGAAATATTGAAAATTTAAGTAAAGAAATTTAAGTAAAGAATTTTTTGTAAATGTATTCTAAATTTTTCTAAGAATATTCGTCGTGATAATTCTCAATAAACTGTTGACATGCATCTTTGTCCGCGTACGATGTATTGTCACACAATATTAACAGAAGTACATGTCAATAGAACAATTAGCGAGATCTTTTGTATTCGTCGGACTCGCTTCCCTGTTATTCGTTATTTCCTAACAATGATGATGATGAAGCGGGTTTAAGCGCCGCGTGACAAAACGACAATGCCCGGTTACTATTTTTGAATACCTGTGGGAGGTGCAATATGCATATGTCATATATATGAGAACCGCACAGAAACCGCCAGTTTGTCACAGCCACATGTAGTATTAACGAGTGACAAAGGCGTGTGTCCGCATATTTTGTCAACAAAATATCCAATTGCTATCGAGACCGGTTCAAATTTCACCTATAAATAATTCGCGAAGGGATTTTACACGTAATTTTGTACGTCATATATAATAAATTTACAAATGTGTCTTCAAAGAACAATTTTCTGCAAATCGCGCTAATATATCATAGGAGAAATATATATATATATATATACATATATATATATATATATATATATATATATAT